TTTTGAACTGTGGTGTTGGAGAAGACTCTTAGGAGTCCCTTGGACAGCAAGGAGATCCAACCTGTCCATCCTAAAGGAAATCAGTCCTGGGTGTTCACTGGAATGACTGATGTTGAAGCTGAAACTCCAATATTTTGGTCACCTGATGCGAAGAGGTGACTCATTTGAAAAGACCCAGATGCTGGGAAAGATTGAGGGCAGGAGGAGATGGGGACGACAGAAGATGAGATGGTTGGATGGCATCACCGACTCAAAGGACATGAGTTTGGGTAGACTCCAGGAGTTGTTGGTGATGGACACGGAGGCCTGGCGTGCTGCAGTCCATGGAGTCTCAAGGAGTCTTACATGACTGAGTGACTGAACTGAACTGAACTGATATGGACCTTTGTTGGCAAAGTAATGTCTCAGATTTTTAATATGCTGTATGTGTTTTTCACAGCCTTTCTTCCAAGGAGAACTGTCTTTTAATTTCGTGGTTGCAGTCACCATCTGTAATGATTTTGAAATCCAAGAAAATAAAGTCTGTGACTGTTTCCAATGTTTCCCCATCTATTTGCCGTGAAGTGATGGGACTAGAGGCCATGATCTTTGGTTTTTGAATGTTGAATTTTCAGCCTGCTTTCTCACTCTCCTCATTCACCTTCATCAAGAGGCTCTTTAGTTCCTCTTCACTTTCTTCCATAAGGGTGGTGTCATCTCCATATCTGAGGTTATTGATATTTCTCCCGGCAATCTTGATTTCAGCTTTTGCTTCATCTAGCCTGGTATTTCTCATGATGTATTATGCATATAAGTTAAATAAGAAGGATGTTTATTTTGGATGTTTATAGTCAATTTGTCATGGCTTAAAATTAGAAGCCCACAGAATGTCCTCATTGTTCAGTTGCTAAATCGTGTCCAACTCTTTTCAACTCCATGGACTGTAGCTAGGTTTCCTGTCCTTCACTGTCTCCCAGAGTTTGCTCAAACTCATGTCCATTGTGTAGGTTATGCCATCCAACCACCTCATCCTCTGTTGCCCCTTTATTCTCTTGCCCTCAGTCTTTCCCAGCATCAGGATCTTCTCCAGTGAATCAGCTCTTCCCATCAAGCGGCCAAAGTATCAGAGCTTCAGCTTCAGCATCAGTCCTTCCAATGAATATTTAGGGTTGATTTCCTTTAGGATAGACTGATTGGATCTCCTTGCTGTCCAGGGGACGCTCAAGAGTCTTCTCCAGCACCACAATTCAAAAGCTTCAATTATTTGGGGCACAGCCATCTTTATGGTCCAACTTCATATCTCATATGGAAAAACTAAAACTTTGACTGCATGAACCTTTGTCGGCAAAGGTATATATGTCTCTGCTTTTCAATATACTGTCTAGGTTTGTCATAGCTTTCCTTCCAAGGAGCAAGCATCTTTTAATTTCATGGCTGCAGTCACCATCCACAGTCATTTTGGAGCCCAAGAAAATAAAATCTGTCAATGTTTCCACTTTTTCCTCATCTATTTGCCATAAAGTGATGGGACCAAATGCCATGATCTTAGTTTTCTAAAGGTTGAGTTTTAAGCCAGCTTTTTCACTCTCTCCTTTCACCCTCATCAAGAGGCTCTTTATTTCCTCTTTGCTTCCTGCCATTAGAGTGGTCCATAGGTGAATATTTTTCAGCACTAAAAAGAAATGAGGTAACCAGCCATAGAAAAACATTGATCAACTTTAAATGCATATTACTAACTGAACAAAGCAAATCTGAAAAGGCTGCATGCTATATGATTCCAACTATATGACATTCTGAAAAAGGCAAAACCTCAAAGACGATGAAATGATAAGTGGTTCCCAGGAGTTCCTAGGGAGGTGGAGATGAATTCGTGGAGCACAGAAAACTTTTAGGGCAGTGAAACTACTCTGTAAGATACTGTAATGGTGGGTACATGTCAGTGTGCATTTGCCAATACCCATAGAATGTAAAACACCAAGAGTGAACACTAATGGAAACTATAGACATTAGTTAATAATAATACATCAATATTGATTCATCAATTGTAACAAGCGTGACACACTTATCCAGAATGTTCACGGTGGAACCAAAGAAGAGAGTTGAGAAGGGGTGTGGGAACTATGCACTTCCTGCACAATTCTGAAAACCTACAACTGCCTCCCAAAAATAGTCTATTTTTAAAAAACACAATCAGTCAAAATCTAAAAGAAAATAAAATTGGTTGTGGATGAAAAGATATATGATACAGCATGTGTAGTAAAATGCTAATAGTGGTGGTGTATATGGATGTTCCCTATACAACTCTTTCAACTTTGTACTGTTTGGCATTTTTCATAATAAATATGGGGGGAAAGTCATTGTGGGTAATATTATGAGAAAACTTAGCACAGTAAGGTCAAAAGAAGCCTGTGGAATTTAACTCCATCAGGGTTTTCTCATATGATTCTGTACAAAATGTATTACTTGATGTAACGAACTGAATTCCTAATCTAAATTCTAAAACCCAGTTGGTTCTACGTCCGCGTCGCAGCGCCTGAGGGAGCCGCCGACTCCAAGAGCCGGAGCGCCGGCGACCCCTTCCCCGTCTTCACCAAGCTCCGCCCCGTAGAGCCTGGAGGGCGGGTGGCTGTGGATCCCGGGGGGCACGCTTAGCTTCGGGCGGAGGCGACAAGAGTGCTGCGGAGCTGTAGGCGCCGGCTCCGGCTCCGGCCCCGGCCCCGGCTGGAGCGCCGCCGGCCCCGGAGTACTACCCGGAGGAGGACGAAGAACTGGAGAGCGCCGAGGATGACGAGCGCAGCTGCCGGGGCCGCGAGTCGGACGAAGACACTGAGGATGCTAGTGAAACTGACCTGGCAAAGCATGATGAAGAAGACTATGTAGAAATGAAGGAACAGATGTATCAGGATAAACTGGCTTCTCTCAAGAGACAGTTGCAACTGCAGGAAGGTACATTACAAGAATATCAGAAGAGGATGAAGAAATTAGATCAGCAGTACAAAGAGAGGATACGAAATGCAGAACTCTTCCTCCAGCTGGAAACTGAACAAGTGGGAAGAAATTACATCAAAGAAAAGAAGGCGGCAGTGAAAGAATTTGAAGACAAGAAGGTTGAGCTGAAAGAGAACCTGATTGCTGAGCTAGAGGAAAAGAAGAAAATGATTGAAAATGAAAAGCTAAAGATGTTCTATACATAGGAGTCTCTTTTTCTGTTTTGCACATAGGGTTATCGTTACCATCTTTCTAAATTCCATATATATGTGTTAGTATACTGTAATGGTCTTTATCTTTCAGGCTTACTTCGCTCTGTATAATGGGCTCCAGTTTCATCCATCTCATTAGAACTGATTCAAATGAATTCTTTTTAATGGCTGAGTAATATTCCATGGTGTATATGTACCACAGCTTCTTCATCCATTCATCTGCTGATGGGCATCTAGGTTGCTTCCATGTCCTGGCTATTATAAACAGTGCTGCGATGAACATTGGGGTACACGTGTCTCTTTCAGATCTGGTTTCCTCGGTGTGTATGCCCAGAAGTGGGATTGCTGGGTCATATGGCAGTTCTATTTCCAGCTTTTTAAGAAATCTCCACACTGTTTTCCATAGTGGCTGTACTAATTTGCATTCCCACCAACAGTGTAAGAGGGTTCCCTTTTCTCCACACCCTCTCCAGCATTTATTGCTTGTAGACTTTTGGATAGCAGCCATCCTGACTGGTGTGTAATGGTACCTCATTGTGGTTTTGATTTGCATTTCTCTGATAATGAGTGATGTTGAGCATCTTTTCATGTGTTTGTTAGCCATCTGTATGTCTTCCTTGGAGAAATGTCTGTTCAGTTCTTTGGCCCATTTTTTGATTGGGTCATTTATTTTTCTGGAGTTGAGCTGGAGGAGTTGCTTGTATATTTTTGAGATTAATCCTTTGTCTGTTGCTTCGTTTGCTATTATTTTCTCCCAATCTGAGGGCAGTCTTTTCACCTTGCTTATAGTTTCCTTTGTTGTGCAAAAGCTTTTAAGTTTCATTAGGTCCCATTTGTTTATTTTTGCTTTTATTTCTAAAATTCTGGGATGTGGGTCATAGAGGATCCTGCTGTGATTTATGTCGGAGAGTGTTTTGCCTATGTTCTCCTCTAGGAGTTTTATAGTTTCTGGTCTTACATTTAGATCTTTAATCCATCTTGAGTTTATTTTTGTGTATGGTGTTAGAAAGTGTTCTAGTTTCATTCTTTTACAGGTGGTTGACCAGTTTTCCCAGCACCACTTGTTAAAGAGGTTGTCTTTTTTCCATTGTATATCCTTGCCTCCTTTGTCAAAGATAAGGTGACCATAGGTTCGTGGATTTATCTCTGGGCTTTCTATTCTGTTCCATTGATCTATATTTCTGTCTTTGTGCCAGTACCATACTGTCTTGATGACTGTGGCTTTGTAGTATAGTCTGAAGTCAGGCAGATTGATTCCTCCAGTTCCAGTCTTCTTTCTCAGGATTACTTTGGCTATTCGAGGTTTTTTGTATTTCCATACAAATTGTGAAATTATTCGTTCTAGTTCTGTGAAAAATATCGTTGGTAGTTTGATAGGGATTGCATTGAATCTGTAGATCACTTTGGGTAGTATAGCCATTTTGACAATATTGATTCTTCCAATCCATGAACACGGTATATTTCTCCATCTGTTTGTGTCCTCTTTGGACTTGTGGACTCTGGGAGAAGGCGAGGGTGGGATGTTTCAAGAGAACAGCATTGAAACACGTATATTATCTAGGGTGAAACAGTTCACCAGCCCAGGTTGGGTGCATGAGACAAGTGCTCGGGCCTGGTGCACTGGGAAGACCCAGAGGGATTGGGTGGAGAGGGAGGTGGGAGGGGGGACCGGGATGGGGAATACATGTAAAAAAAAAAAAAAAAAAAAAGATACACTATGGTTGTGATAAAAAAAAAATTAATTAAAAAAATATATTTAATTAAAAAAAAAAAAAGAAAGAAAAAAAAGAAAAGCTAAAGATGGAACTGACTGGAGATTCCATGGAAGTGAAACCCATCATGACCAGAAAGTTGCGGAGGCGACCGAATGATCCTGTCCCCATCCCAGACAAGAGGAGGAAACCTGCTCCTGCCCAGCTCAACTATTTGTTAACAGATGAGCAGATCATGGAGGATCTGAGAACGTTAAATAAGCTGAAGTCACCCAAGAGACCAGCATCCCCATCCTCTCCCGAACACTTGCCCACCACCCCTGCAGAATCTCCAGCCCAGAGATCTGAAGCTCGGATAGAAGACGGCAAACTGTACTACGATAAAAGATGGTACCATAAGAGCCAAGCCATCTATCTGGAGTCAAAAGACAACCAGAAACTGAGCTGTGTGGTCAGCTCTGTCGGAGCCAACGAAATCCAGGTGAGGAAGACAAGCGACAGAACCAAGATGAGGACTTACTTGGGCCAGCTTCAGCGTGGGCTCTTTGTGATCCGCCGGAGGTCAGCGGCTTGATGTTCTCCAGTAATCTTCTTCCCTCGACCCCTTTTCTGGAATGGTTTTTGGTTTTGTTTGGTTTTCTTAATAGAACATTTTTAACTTGGGACTGGCTCCTTGGCCTTGGCAGATGGAGAACACTATGGTGGATTCTGCAAGGCATTCTGGTGGCCAGCCCCACCCCGCCTTGCATCATTCTTTCCCTGCGTCGACTCCTTCCAGTCATCCGTCACCCTGAGACTGTTGTACTCTCCGGAGCATTGGGAGTTGGCTTTACCAATTTTCTTTTTTTTTGCTTAAAAAAAATAAATAAATAAAACCCAGTTGGTTCTGCCTTTAAACACCAGAGCCTAGTGTTTGATTTATTGTTTGAAAAATATAACTAGATATTAACTGTATGTCATCTCATCAGTAGAGGAAAATGAGCAGGGCTTTGTAGTTTTTGAAACAATACTGATGATGTGGTAATCTACACAACAACTGTACTGGACTTTGTCAGTGTCCTTGTTACAATATAGCACTGTTTTATTTACCACCCAAAACATATATTTTCATTACTCACTACAATATGACAATAACAACAGTTTTGAATGGTGCATATTTCTCATTATGAATCTAAATACACAGAATGTTTGCTCTGTTCTCAGTCACTACACTGTGCAAAACTGGTATGTTAAAAATAGTATGACATATTTGCATATTTATCTGTATTAAAAGCCCCGTGAAACAGTTATTGCAGATACACAGCTGTTGCTTTTTAAGTATTTTTTAAAGGAACCATATCCATTCTTCTATGTAAATTACATACATTCTCAAATATATCATCTGAGCCAAGGGAGTTTCAAAGCTTTTAACAGGAAAACTTATTCTCAGAGAAGATTGTTAAAGGAGAGGAATTGTAAATTTTTAGTCATTGTGTCCAAATGATAAATTTTTAACCTAAAATGATAAACTTGTTCCTTTGCCAAGTCAAATATCATACATTGTAAACAGAAAGTAATTCTGGATGCTTCTACAAATTATGGCCTTATTTCAGCATGGAGACTGTTTACCTCATCTACAGAGCACAGAAGAGATGCTGCTTTATATCAATCAAGTTACAGCAGTCTCCATTTTGTGACTTAAAAGTGACAAATTCTGTTGTAAAGAATTTTTCTTTTAATTGCATTCTCATATCTTCATAAAAGCTAATAGTAGCATTTTTCTTTTTAGTTAAAAATTAAATTATGTTCCTGGAATGCTAGCTACTATCATCTTGTAGTTCCCAGAAAAGAGATCCAACTGAAAAACAGTTCTAGCAATTTTCATTATTTTCCCTATAATTGTAATATGAACACTTTCAATTTTAAGAAAACATGTGTATTTTCAACTCTGACCATATTAAGTTCATTAATATATAATTCCGATGCACATGAGGTGTTCTCATTTTAGTATCTGAACTATAGTTTTATTTTAAAACGTTTTTAAATATAAATAGTTGAATCAAAGATATATTTTATAGTTCAATTTTACCATGTTAGCTAAAGAAGAGGGTATTAAAAGGAAGGATTATCATATATTAAATTAAAAGTTTGTCACTTTGCAGCTCTAATCCATTTGGGAAAAAAAAGATGATTTCAGTACAGTTTAATCAGTTAGAGGTCTTTATTGCCTTAAGTATTAATTGATTAGGTTCTCACTAAGGTCAAAAGTACACTTGGCTGCCTAGAGACGGCCAATTAGCAAATTGTCAACTGTGCTTATTTACATTGACCAAACATAATAGTAGTTATTTGACTGTCAAGTCAGAAGGTCACCAAATCTTTTGTACACTTTGCCCTCCAAAAGGGCAGCAGTCATTTAGACACCAGAAAGCATTCATAACAAAGATTTAGTTTATTACTTATTGACTTAAATCACTCTTAGAAACAGGTGTTTCATTCTCTTTGGACAACTGATATATCATTTCTTTTGTGAAATACTTGAGGTCCAGTTGAAATCCTGTGGTTGATTGTATCTGAAGATTTTTGTTCAGCAAGTAGGTTGCTCTTGAAACTCTAAATAGCTTTTTTAAGAACAAACCAATCCAATGACTATAATCCTTTGCAATATAGACTTTTCTCCTGCTAAGTGATTGCAGTGAGTTGGAACAAGTTGGACACAGGTGCTGAAATGCCTCTGGGGCACTATTCTCAAAGTTGAAGGTCAGAAGCACATTTGAGTCTCACCTTAATGAGGACATTGGTATGTTTTTGAATATACTGGTGCTGCCATGGATATTGGATATTTTCTACAGACCAAAAGATAAATGAAAACTCAAGGTTATTCATGAACCAGTAATCTAAAATTTCTTCCTATAATCCCAGTGATTTTTTTTATCATCATAAGTCATTACACCTAATTTATTTAGTGGTGATATAACTAGTTGCATTTGTTAGCATTTTTTTCTATTTACACTCTTCTACTTAAATTTAACATTATTCTCCGTTACATTTTTCAGTTATTTCTTGAAATATCACTGATGATCCCATGAGTTAATACTTTAAGGAGTAAGTATTTTTGTTTCACATTATCATTTTTACAACTTATTCCTCAAACTAGAAACCCATGACTTAGCCTAGATTCCTTCCTCTCTCCAAATATTCATCTCATCAAGGATCACATTCTGTCAGTTCTAGTTACTGAATGTCATCAATAGATATTAATATAAGTACCCTCCACTTCAACCCACTGTCACTGCCTCTTAGCAGCTTGTTGGCTCTTGATTCAATTGCTATGATACATTTTTCAGTATCTTATCAGTGATTCAGTGACCTTCTGTTGGCATGACTATCTTCCTGCTAGATTGGGACTCCTTTAGAATAGGGTGATATATTTTTACTATATGCCCCACAAACAGTGTTTGGCACATACAGATTTTCAGTAAAAATTTACTGAGTAAATATAAATGACCACAATTAGCTTTATGCTACATAATGTAAGCCTTGATAGAGTAATAATTTTTATGATTTATGAACTCATTAAATCAAATTTTCACTAGTATTAAATTATTGATATTTTCCAACTATAATAAGAAGCAATAAGTTATAATTCATCCATATGGCTAAACCAAGAGCATTGACTTTGAAGACAGAGAGAGCCCAAGCCAAAAGAAAAAGTCACTACCATACTTCTTGTTTAATTAAGCTACCAAGTATAGGTAAAAAACAAATCCACATACTATCAAAACATGTGCTTTGTCTGTGGTATCATATGACTAAATAACAGTTACTATTTACACACTGTGGACTTTGATATATTAGCTATTTGCCTCTCAAAACAATGCAATGTAGACATATTTGTCCTTTTTCAAATAAAAAACTAGTTTCATAGGATAACTTATCTAAACACTAGCATATAACCCAGATATTGCTTGCTCCAAAGCCTGAGTTCTATCTACCACAGTAAAATTTGCACCCTTCTTTAGAACTTTGGACAACCTGTTGGGTTGGCCAAAGAATTCATTCGAGTTTTTCTGTAACACCTGGAAAAACCAGGATGAACTTTTTGACCAACCCAATATTTTACATTATTCAAAAACTTTACTAAATGTTGCATAGAGATGTTTCATATCTATTGTTGGGATGATTTGGAAAGTGTGGGGAAGATAATCAGTAGAGTCAAAGGTGGGAAAAATGACAGTGGAAATTAAAAGTAATATGACTTAGTAGTTAAGACTGCATGGGCTTTGACATTATACAGCCCTACACTTGAGTTCCAGGTCTTCCTTGTACGATCTGTGTGATCTTCTGTGTGTGGCTTGACCTATACATTTCAGTGCCAATCTCTAAAATAAATATAATAATTTTTGTTGCTGCTGTTTAATCAGTCAGTTTTTGTAACCTCATGGACTGTAGCATGCCAGGCTTCCCTGTCCTTCACCATCTCCCAGAGCTTGCTCAAACTCATGTCCATTGAGTCTGTGATGCCATCCAACCACCACATCCTCTGTCATCCCCTTCTCCTGCCTTCAATCTTTCCTAGCATCAGGATCTTTTCTAATGAGTCAGCTCTTCACATCAGGTGGCCAAAGTATTGGAGCTTCAGTTTCAGCATCAGTCCTTCCAATGAATACTCAGGATTGATTTCCTTTAGGATTGACTGATTTGATCTCCTTGCAGTCTAAGGGACTCTCAAGAGTCTTCTCCAACACCACAGTTCAAAGGCATTCTTTGGCACTCAGCTTTCTTTATGGTCCAACTCTCATATCCATACATGGCTACTTTAAAAACCATAGCTTTGACTATATGGACATTTGTCAGCAAAGTCAAGTCTCTGTTTTTTAATATGCTGTCTAGGTTAGTCATAGCTTTTCTTCCAAGGAGCAAGCATCTTTTAATTTCATGGCTGCAGTGACCATCTGTAGTGATTTTGGAACCCAAGAAAATAACGTCTGTCACTGTTTCCGCTGTTTCCCCATCTATGTACCATGAAGTGATGGGACTGGGTGCCATGATTTTCTTTTTTTTAATGTTGAGTTTTAAGCCGGGCTTTTCACTCTCTTTCACTTTCATCAAGAGACTCTTTAGTTCCTCTTTACTTTCTTCCATAAGGATGGTGTCATCTCCATACCTGAGGTTATTGCTGGTTACTTCTCCCAGCAATCTTGATTCCAGCTTGTGCTTCATCCAGCCTGGCATTTCGCATGATGTAATCTGCATATAAGTTAAATAAGCAGGGTGTCAATATACAGTCTTGACATACTCCTTTCCCAATTTGGAACCAGTCTGTTGTTCTATTTCTGGTCCTAGCTTTTGCTTCTTGACCTGCATACAGGTTTCTCAGGAGGTAGATCAGGTGGTCTGGTATTCCCATCTCTTGAAGAATTTTCCACAGTTTGTTGTGACCTGTACAGTCAAAGGCTTTAACATAGTTAATGAAGCAGAAGTAGGTGTTTTTCTGAAATTTTCTTGCTTTTTATATGATCCAACAGATGTTGGCAGTTTGATCTCTGGTTTCTCTGCCTTTTCTAAATACAGCTTATACATCTGGAAGTTCTC